GAACGATCGAACAGCAGACAGCTAATAATTTTCAAAAACAAAGTATATAAATATATATATATAAATATATATATATATGTATATGTATATATATGTATATATATATATATATATATGTGGGGGTGTGTATATAATATCTACAATGACGATTTTAATATATAAACTACATATTCTGATCATATCAAGAATGGAGACAAGAAATAATGTATGTATATATACACATATACATGTGTATATATATATTTATATATATATATATATATATCTACTTTGAATGATAAATGTTATAACTTCTAATTTTGTGTGGATTAATAAATGTTATATTGAATTGGAAAATAATATATATATGTATATGATGTTTTCAATTTCCGAACATTTTTTTTTTATTTTGATTAATTTGAGAAGGTCGAGACCCATTCACTCCGACTGCACCCATATTGATGATAATAAATATGCCTAACGATAGGAATATATATATCATTCAGCCTAAGGTATAGATTGTTTGTATATAGGCCTACTAGTATAGGTATCACAACATTGTATCGGTCTAATAAAAAAATTCTTTAGAATGATGCTGATGTTAAAACTATTTTTAAAAGGTCAGCAATGGGACAGTTTCTGTGGATAAGCTTACGGAAAATATTTTTTTCTTCCGAATTTTGTGTTCAACAGAAGAGTTAAGCTTGAAATTATAATATTTTAAAAAGGATACGACTAAAAGCTAACGCCTTTAAAGCCATGGAAATATCAATCAACGCTATTTACAACTGTATGGCAATAGTCAATTTATGTCCAACAAACATACTTTAAGCTTCACGGGGAAGGAGCGAAGTTAATAGTTATTTTTGCAAGGGTAACACCTAAACGATACTTCCAATAAACATACCTGGTACATACAAAAGGGAGGCGCTAATACTGTACAGCGAACGTCATGACAATCGGGCAAGTTTAGGTACACGCCCCACAAAGCCGACTTCGCCATCGTCAAGTAGGTCAATTTTGTATTAAGAAAATGTTCACTTTCCAAATAAAATTATGACAGTAATAATATCTGTAATATTACTGTCTGTGAGATTATTGCCCGATTATTAAAAATATGGATAACTTTTTTTAATACGAAATTAGCAATTGAGAAAGTATAACACATAATCCAAGTATTGTATGTCATGCGATGTTAATAATATACATGTATTCTCCTCTGTTATGTATAATATAACGCCTCGTATCTGCAAAGAAAGGCGCTATACATAAATATAAATGTCTCAACCTTGTTTGGGATTTTCTGCTACAGCTTTGTGATCTTGAGACATGATTTCAAACACGCAATAAGACATCAATGAAATAACACTAACGTACACTGAATTATACTACATAATACCGTACATTCTATTTAATATTTGTCTAACAAATAAACATTTAGGCTGCTATCATAAATAAAATGCATGTATACTTTTAGACATTATTGTGTGTTAGTCCATGGGTGCAGGCTACCCACCACCCAAATAAACGTAATCTGTATTGAATATCAAATTGTACAACACGAAACATTACATTTATTCATTTTTCACTGAAACTTACCTTAGTTTACAGCTTCAAGTAGTAGTTTTACCACTCAGTATAAATAAAAATGAATGATAAAACAGAAAATAATACAGTAGGTCTATTATAAGGTCCTAAGTATAATAAGGCTGTTTGTCTGTTTTCCCTCCTCACCTTCCCCACTATCTGAGAAAAAAATAGGGGGGGGGGCAAGAAAACCTTTTTTCTGCTTTGTTCTTTACATATAAAAAAATGTGTTTAAAAAACTCTTTTTTCAACCAGCCCCTTTTTATCATTTTAAAAAAAGAAGGGCAAACAAACAATTTATATTTTTAGGCCTAATAGACCGTCTCAACGACTATATTGCTTTGATAGCCGGAATCCACATTCCCTCTTACCTGAAAAAAGAAAAATATTAACGAAAGCATTGTGCTTGAATTAGCTGTAAATAGACACACACCACGACATAGATGACGACTCCAAACAATAATGGGTGTGGGATTGGGATAATGCCCATATGGCGCCCCATACATATTTCGCCCGACCGAAATTATCGGCGGCCGAAGTCATGAGGAAATGGGCCCGATCGTCTTTGGGAAAATGGGCCCGAACGTCTACCCGCCGTTTTAAAAAATGGGCCCGAAAGTCTACATCGGTGGGCCCGATCGTCCACACTAGTTGGGCCCGATGGTCCACACTAGTTGAGCCCGAAATAATAATAACAACAATGATAACAATAAAGATGTGTATAAGAGACAGGGCCTAGGCCTAGCCAAATGTTTTGCGGCCTGGCCCAAACGTAGCAGGCTAGGCCTGGCCTTGGCCAGGCCCTGCTGGATTGGATTGGATTTCTTCGGTGTGGTATACACCAAGGATAACCCACGAAAGTCCCAAGACTTATTTCCAGTGGGTTCCATCTAACTAAGGGTGAATTGATTGGGCAGCAGGGTGCAGGTCAACTCGGCCACAAGTCAACTCGGCCACAGTCAACTCGGCCACAAGTCAACTCGGCCACAATTCAACTCGGCCACAATTCAACTCGGCCACAAGTCAACTCGGCCACAAAATGTTCGGCTACAGCCAACTCGGCCACAAGTCAACTCGGCCACAACAAGTTATTTAATGTAAATCTCAGTTTTTGCAACCTTTTTCTTTAATATATGATTGAAATAAAGTACACAGTATATTTTAGCAAAACAGGACATAAGAGACAGTACATATTTCTCCCGACCGAAATTATCGGCGGCCGAAGTCATGAGGAAATGGGCCCGATCGTCTTTGGAAAAATGGGCCCGAACGTCTACCCGCCGTTTTAGAAAATGGGCCCGAAAGTCTACATCGGTGGGCCCGATCGTCCACACTAGTTGGGCCCGATGGTCCACACTAGTTGAGCCCGATCGTCCAAAAATGGGCCCGATCGTCTGGGCCCGATCGTCTCGTGTGCCCGATCGTCTGTAATTCTTCAAGTCTACTCTCTGGCGTAAGATAGGGTAGTTGCTGCTTCATGTTTGTGCTCTTTGCTATTCAGTTTTACAAAGCCTGTGATTTCTATCTGAAATCATGTCGAGCATAAGCATAGCTGAAGAAGATGAGGCTCTCTTGACAATAAATCGAAATCGGTTGGTATTCCTATAACTCGAAAACCTAGGCTAGGGGCCTAGGCCTAGCATATAGGCCTAGATAGGGGCCTAGGGCCTAGACCTATTATATAGATATAGGCCTACAATGACATTAACTTAACAGAGCACGACGGTCTAGGGCGTAGGCCTAGCCTTGTTGAGTCTGCTACTCATCTAGACCCTAGCCTAGACATACAATTACAATAACATTAATTTATGTACTGTACAATACAAACAATACAATGAACTTTATTTCTGGCAATAAACAAAATACATACAATTGTACAATTCATGAAATTGAGGAAATTGAAGTAAAAAAGCTTCTAATAAAGGTGTTTCACCCTAGGGCCTACTGTATTATTTTATTTAACTTTTATTTTATATTTCTTTCAGGAAACAAACAGATTTAAACATTGGATATGTCAATACTAAATTTAAATGAACGTGAAAAACAGGACAGCGTAGGCCTACTATAGGGCCTATATAATACGGGCAAATAGAAAAATTTATTAGATTGTCACACCCACCCACGTCGAAATTCGGGAAGTATTGATGCGGGAATAAAATAAAATTTTTTTGTCGCAGCAATTATTTCAACAGCATAAAATGACAATACAATTTTGTGACTTCAAATACATTTTCTTTAAAAAACAATAAAATTAAACCAGTTTTTTATACAATATTCACTATTGCAGGCCCAGGTACAGGCCAAATATGAACAGTCCCTCCCTCATCGATAAAAACTGAAGCGAAATAATTTATTGTAATATTGTAATAATTTAGTGTAATATTGTAATTTAAAAAAAAACCGCCTTCCCTCATCAATTAAAAAAAAAAGAACAGTGATATCTAATAATTTTTTCTACAGTATGTGCCCTAATAATCTAACTCTCTATTTATATAAAATATAGTACGTAAGGAAATAGACATTAATTTAATAATTGATTAGAACAATTATGTGGCTTATTATCCATCATACACATATTGGAACTGTACGCTTGCCTTGGCGCTCTATACAAATTACTGTTTATTGACAAGCGGCCGCGTCGACCATAATCTGCCTTACCCCCTTATGATTTTTCCTGATAATTGGCCTTCCCTTCATGCCGCAACCACTGCATCCAGTCCATACAATAGGCCTATGAATAACATCCGATCAGAATTAGGAATTATCTGAATTAGGGCTTAAGGCTATCTAAGGTGTTTCCAGCAGAATGGAAATGGGCCCGAACCAAAGGGTGACTAGAGCCTTGGTCGGGGTCCTGGAATAAAAAGTTTTTATGGCTTATAAATATATATATATATATATATATATATATATATATATATATATACTACCTTTATTCGGCTCTTAGGGGGAAACTCTTTTGTATATATACCTTTATTCGGCTCTTAGGGGAAAACTCTTTTGTCTATGATTTCGCCTTAACGTCGCTTTAGTTTCCCCTTAGCGACACTACTTTCACCTTAAGGTACTGTTTTTAACCCACTTCATTGTTTTAGTTTCCCCCTATGGATACTTCTATATATAGTTGACATCAGAATAATGATGAGCTGCACGTATAATGATGAGCTGCACGTGTGTTCCAAATAAGTATAACATGTGAGTCAAGTACGAAAATAAAGGACAGAGGTTGACGTGTTACAGAACATAAAACATATATTATTATATTGAGAAACGTATATTGCGTCATGTCCTCAGGACTTCTTCAGCATTAATGAAATGCACAGAACTATTGGCATTATATAAACATATCAAGCATAATCCAACGGATCTCAGCACATCTTCTAGCCTTATTCGATTTGAAATCGGTACCTAGGATTAAAAAGCGTAAATCATTGATAGAATGGCAAACAGGGAAGCCCTTTTGCATATCTCTAACAAATTTTTATGGTTGTTGTGTGTTAATGTAAGTTTACATCCGGTCTCACTTACATAATTGCCGTTATTACATTTTTAGTACAAAATAGTAGATAAACTACATTAGATGTATTACAATCTAGAGCCGGTGGGTTTAATGTCTGCTTGGTCCCTGGGACATTGAATTTAGTGCCAGGTGTAATTATGCGGCATAGTTGGCATCTGGGTCTGTTGCAAGGTCTATTACCATGGTCTGTAGAGCGAATGGGTAACTTGGAGCTAGTAAGCAGGGATTTCAAGTTGGGAGGTTGGCAGAAGATGGATGCTATATATATATA